GTGAAGTCTCAGTTTCAGATGTGATAATGAAACACCTATATTTGCAAATTTGAGGAGAAGCGAGTGAAAGGAAAAGGTGTTAATTGGGCCACACATTTAAATAAAGAAATACTCAGAGATGTCTTTGACACTGTATATTCAACAGCATCTGTGTTTAAAGTCAGTTAATTTTTTACTGTTTAAACCATTTAAATGTGGAGAGTTTGACCTTTAACACAATAATAACAGTGGAATGTAAATCGTTTCCCAAAGGCACTGATCTTAAAATTAAACTGACCTTTCGTGATGATTTCATTACCAGATACTTATTGCCGATATTGTTCTAGGTTTACGCTATTGCCTATAGTAAAAAATACCACTTTAGACGAAATAATATCGTTGCCATGAGACAGACTTTTCTGGTTTAGTTTTGTCTGAACTGCAACCCACATTATAGGTACCATATGTGGCCCAATAAAGGCATGAGATCCAGTGTTATTTGATAGTTTGACCAGTGCAGGTCAATGTCCTGAGCAGATTTCTGTCATTTTAAGAAATCTTTTAAACATTGACAAAACTGGGAATCAAATGCACCACAATACATTTTATCAACGGCAGTTTGATTCAATTATCATTAAAGCCAGATGTTGACGTTCTGAATTGCAGATGAAGCAAAAAAAAAAAAAAAAAAGCATTGTAATGCTATAGGAAAAAAAAAAAAAAAAACATTGTAATGCTATAGAATTATACTTCCATTGTGCATGGAGCGTTTAGACCCTTCTTATTTTCATCTACATCACTTTAACGTGCCACAGCCAGTGGGATGGCATTGCTGTGGTTTGCCAGTGTTGTCATTGGGAGCTGTGATTTACGAGCTCAGGCGCAGACAGAGTCGGCGAGGAGCTGAGCTGCTAAAAGGCACCACAACAATGAGCGAGGACAGAGGGGGCATTGTTTCGTCACAAGGAGGCATTTGCTGTGAAAACACTTTATGAAAAACCTCAATGCTTTGATTTAATCGAGAGCCATTTCCCAAAAATCAGCAAGAAAAACACTCTTTTGAAGCACAGGACGTGCTGATTTGTGAATCGTTAAGATTCAAACCACAAGTCAATTTGCTGCAATTATTTCACAACGCCACTTGAGAAAACAACACATGACTGCTGAAGGCTTGAAGTGAAATATAACCTCTAGTCCACCAGGGGATTCCCCGCAACACAATGGACAAATTAAATCTATGTGTATACAGTAAATAGAAAAGAAATAACATTACTAACCACAAGAGGGAGGCATTTGACACGATATTCTATTATGACGTTAAATAAAGTACATTCATTTTCTTTATCACTTTAAGGCTGGTCAAACAATACATTCTTTTTCAATTAATCACCAGTTAGATGTGGATAAATTAAAATAATTAATCATGATAACTTTATTGCATTTCAACTACATGGATCAGGTATTTCAAATTTAATTTGTATTTGAAAAATAAATATCTAACTTCTGAAGAAAAACATTGGTCAAAGTCAGTGTCTCAGATGACCTGTGTCATGTGATGCTGCTCAAGGATGAGAATGTGAACCTGTCATAAAGGCTTTAGTCTGCAGTGACTACTTCATAGTTAATCCTTTAATTCCCCATCTGCATTCGTTACATCATCTCAGTGAGATCATGTGATTAGGGGTCATTCATATTTCACTGAAAAGAAAACCATGGGAAGGCAACACCCAGTTGTAGTACAGTCCACCCCCCCAGACATTTTCTCTCTCTCCTTCTGCTCACTGTCACAGCAGAGACTATGTATTAATAGAAAGAAGAATTCTGGATATTTATTAAACCCAGTCACATCAATACTTCCTCACTGTTTTGATACTGCTCCCCTATCACCCATGGCCACAAGAGGGCACTGTCTAGACTCATGGCAACTACAAGCTGCTACTGTGCCCCTGTTTGCAGCATATTTTTTGTCTCACCTGAGAAGACGTCCACATAGGGAACCGTGTTGGTGGAGTTCTGTCGTGTGTATTGCTGCCTCCTGGAGCCCAGCGTCCAGTACGTCCCACCCACGTGACCCTTCTCCTGTGTCTGCTCCAAGAAACTGACCTCAGCACCTGGCAGTCTTGGCTCTACCAACACCGGGGACCAATCTGCAGGAACGCTGATGGGCCCAGCGATGGAGGAGGACCTCTGCTTGTACCTCCTGACCTCCTGAGCCTCGATGAATTCCACTGGACGATCTGTGGCGTCCGTTTTTCTGGGCGATAGCGGCGTAGTGATGGGAGAGCCAATTGGAGAGGTGAGCTGTCTGGTGGTGGTCTTGATATACGAAGGATGGACTGGAGGGTAGAGTTTGACAGCAGAGAGGGAGCTGGAGGAGGTTCTCCTCGGTTGGGAATCAGGAGGACTATCTGTTAGCAGGAGAGAAAAACTATTCTTCTTTCTCTGCAGAGAGAAGAAATCTCGTCTTCCTGTTTCTTCTTCCCTGTTCTCCATCGACAGATCCACACTGCTTGCACTTTTGTGAGCTCCCCTCGTGCCCAGTCCTGGTTCCACCGGCTCCAGGTCGACACATGGTACATACTCGTCTTTGCTCTGATCACTTCCACAGAGCTGTGGGAAACAGACCGGGCTCTCCAGGTCTTCTAGTAGTTCCTCTGCACTTTCATATGAGGTAGTCGTGGCTGTGGTGTCAGCGAAACTATATGTGCTGTTAGTCTTTGGGAAAACATTGTCACAACTTCTGTCTACATCCAGGGTTGAGGGTGATGGAGTACCATCACTCACAGACCCAGAGCTTCCCAACAAGGGTCTATCAAACTTTTCTTCATTCATTTTCCCATCTTTGGGTTCTATTTCCTGACCAACACTGTCTCTTCCATCTTCCTGTTCCACCTTAAATAGCTGCTGAGATGTTTCCTTCTCAAAATCTCCATCTTCTACATTCAGTTTTTCAAATAAATAACCACTTACTTCACTGGTCATGAACTGGTCTTTCATGTTGAGCTGGATCTCTGACAGAAGGTTGTCATTTTCTGCAATTGCAGAGTGAAAACTGTAGAGGTCAGCATCCGACAGAGAGCCGTTTTTCTCTCTAAACTCACCCATTACAGGCTGGTGACTCTCTGTGGTCAGGTGGCTCACCTCAGCCTCTGTATCCGAGAACATTTCCAACTCGTCTGTGGACAGACTCGTGCTTATTCTGGATTTGACGCCTGTTTTACTCGAGTGAGCAGAGACACCATCTTCCAATAAGTCGTCCTTTGACAAGCCTCTGGTCTTGGACAAACTCTTCCTGATGCCAGAGAAAACTGAACCCTTTGACTCGGACTTTGTCTTCTTCTTACTGCTGCTCTCACCCTTTCCTTTGCTCATCTTGCCAAAAGGCTTTTTGGATTTTTTGTCCACCTCATTTTCATCCTCATCACACTCACAGGAGACATCTGCTGCTGCTTCAACACTTGCTTTCTTCTGCTTCGTCTCCTGGTTACCCATGTTCCTGAGCAAGCGGACACCCTTGGCTAACAGGCCATACTGCTGGGTTCGAGGTTGGGCACGCCTGGCATCCTCCTGTGCTGTGAGTGATGCTGCTCCTCTGCTGATGGTTGTAGAACCAGAGCTGCTTAATCCTCGCTGTCTGCCCACTGAGGTTAACGCTGGCTGTGATGGTGACGCTGCCTCCCCCGGTGACACTGATGCTGCAGATGATGATGATGAAGGGAGGAGGAGACTGGCACTGACAGCCTCGGGCTTGTTACCACTGACTGAATGCTTTCTCCCCCTCCCATGCACAGCCTCTTTCACTCTCTGATCCTTCCTCTCCTTCTGCCCCTCCTTTCCTTCCCCATCTGCTCCAGCACGCTCAGCTGTGTTGCATACCGGCACGCTGGTTGATCGGCTGAATCTGTGTGGCCCGGCAGCAGTGTGCTGCTTCTGACCTTTTCCATCTGAGTGGGGCTGAATTTCTCCAGAACTCTGGCCATCTAAAGTGCCCTGTTCAGGCTCGCTGATGACAGGCTGATGTTGTTTACGCAGGGCGGTTGTGATGCTACTCTTCCTCCGACCTTTAAAAGTGGTGGTGAAGAAACTCTCTTTCAGGATGGGCACCTGGGTCTCCACTGTTTTGATGGTATGCATGCTGACTTCACTGGAGTTTCAACCAGAGGGAAGGTGATCTGTACTGGCTGGAGGAAAGAGAAGAGGGAGTTATTTTTCACCCATTGTTTTTGTTCTAGATTTTCTGAGAATGAACACTGTGTTCTGACATAAAAATGTAAAGGTCATCCTCAACACAAGACGTCTTTTGTTTTCTGTTCTCGTGCATTTTTTTTATTATGTTGTTGTTTACAGTGATGATAAACCCTCTCTATGGTCTAGTAATGTTTAGGTCTTTTAGGGATCAGGATTTCAGTGCATAAATATTGAAGGGTTTGGATCATTTCATGATAAATGGCTGATCACCTGCCTCCCTCTGACCCTTGGCTGACCCTCTGATTGGTTCATGTCCAGACCTTTCTAACCTTCTCTCTTCCAGTGAAGACCTCAGTATCTTCAGCTCCGTCACCTCCACCTCATCCTACTGTATATTGCACAGAAGCACCGGCCGAACTATATATATAACTATATATATTATAATATTATTATTGTCACATTTGTATCCTGAGCATTTAAAGATATTTTCTTACGATGTTTCTAATGTTTTCAATTCATACAATCATACAGAAGTATTACACAAGTTGATTAAAGAAAACCAAAAGACATTAGCAACAAGTATTAGCCTAAAAACCAAGATTAACAAACACATGATATAATATAAGAAATGTACGGCATTGGTTTTTACGCCACATTACATTAAAATGTTAACACATGATATAATATAAGAAATGTACCGCGTTGGTTTTTAAGCCACATTACATTAAATTGTAAAAGATCTTTAAAAAACGAGTTAAATTCTCTTTTAAAATCGTTGTATGTGAACGGACGGTCGACTTGCCTGTTGGAGCCTCCTCGGTGACTCAGCGCTGACTGGAGAAAACAACACAAACAGATGTTTGTCTCTCCTTATGCACCGTGGGTCACATGAAGTTGGTATTTTCCTCATCACATGGCTGATCTCCATGGCTGTCCTCCATTAGCAGCGTCTGACACGACACTAACTTCATCAAACCTCTTCACGGAGCAGACGAAGAGCAAAGAATTCTCCTGATTCGCTGATTTAATTTATACTTTAAAACTAACTTTATGAAATAACACTGTAAAGCTCTGACGGAACCCTAAGAGTCGTGTGAAAATGAAATAGAATTATTACTTTAAAAGAAAAAAAAAAGAAAACATCTTATGACATTAAACCGTATTTTCTCATTTGGACTCAAACGGACTTCTTGTGCAACACTTAAACTCTTCCGTGCAATCAACAAACGTGTCACAGCTCTTTGTGTCTGACAAAAACAATTAAAAAAAATAACTTTAAAATTCTGTTTACAAATCAGAAATAGCAAATTAAACAAGAACATATAAAGAAATAGTTATAAATAATTTTTAGTGGTGAAAAATATAATTGAAAGATTTAATTTTTTTCTAAAACAGAAAGTTTGCTAATAATTTAACTGATATCAGCTTTAAATAAAAATCAAATTGCTTTATATTATTTTATTTTGTTATTTTATATTTTATGGCATTTAGCACGTGCAAAGCTTTGTCATTGTGTATTTTATTTCTCAACTACATTAATTTGTTTAGATAATTTCTGCTATTGTTTGACTGATTAAAATGTTTTCTTGGCTTAATTGTTCTACCCTATGTCATTTCACTTCCTCTCCCCTCTCTGTCGACTCTTCAGTAAGACTAGAAAACACACATTTCACAAAGTGAAAACAAAACGTCTATACTAAAAAGAAAATGTGACAAACATTGTTTCATCATTTTTAGATTTTTATTGATTTAAAATATGAATATGGTCAGCATACTTAAAATGTAACAAAATGTTTGTGTTGACCATTTCCCTAGTTCACATATCCAATAGATTTCTAATATTTAAATACAAAATCTCATACTTTGACGAAAAGTGCATTGAGACACTTGGGAGCACATTGTGTAAAAAAGCAGATGTCGCACCCACACGCTGGATATCTTTCTTTCCTTCCTCTTTTTTTATCATTCATGACCAGTGTATCCAGTATCATCAAATCTAATCTGCTGGGGTTTGTTTTTTTTAAAGTAAATTCTATCTTTCATTCCACATATTCCCTCTGCACATTTCTCTGGAAGAGTCATAGACTGTAATGTTTTTTTTAAATATGCGAAATAAAAGTTAACCAAAGGTTTCCAACAAGGTTGAAGCGTGGACCAGAAATGGACCAGAAGTGCTCTGCTAGTTTCTCCAGCATTGTAAATCAGTATGATTGCAAGTCCACAAAAGTGCTTCATGCTGCCCGACATAATTAATATGTCAACTGATTTTAATAAGCACAATGAAGTAGCTTTGAATATTCAATAATATCTATTTGAAACCAGTGGAGTACTTCTGTACACGTCAGCTTCACTTTGTTTAGAATCTGATTGCTGTATCCATTTTGCATATCAGTCTATGGAAAGTGTGTTTGGCAGGAAAAATAATAATAATAATAATAACAACAACAACAACAACAATAATAAAAAACATTGACAACATAATGTGCATTTTTAAAATAATGAAATCCTCTCGTCTCAGTCTCATTTGGTGTCTCTTTGTTGAGTGTTAGAGGGAACCAGTGTTTACTCTTATGGTTTTTCATTTGCGTTTACAAAATATAAAGAGACACAAACAGGATTTGATTCTATTTACAAATTAATGCTGTGAGAGCAATTATGGGAAACATTTCATTTATAATAAAAACAAATCCAACCAATACCATTAATGGTGAGGGTAAGTTCGATTTTGAATATTCGATTTTAATTTATATGTCAAGTGAGAAATTAAATTCTGTATTCAGTTCACAGTCATTATAATAATTAACGATCTAAATAATAAAATAAACATCTGATCTAAACAGTAGACCTTCATTTGAGCGGTTGATGTTAAAACGACTGATTGACTTTCTTTTTTACGCCACTAGAGGCCGCCATTGTTCTACCTGTGTTGGGTAGATCTGGATAGAAATAAAACAAAGCTTAAAAGAGTTTTAAAACACATATGCATTTTTTTGTGTGTCAACCAATCGTTATCCAAATGTACACAGATCACCATCATGGTATAATCAATACTCATACATAAAATACAACCAATTGACTCATTGTTTCCACCATAGAAACCACAACGATCACATTGAACACAACAGCAGCTCACTGACTGTGGTGCCACACAGAATATTCACGACTCAGTTCCATAAAAGAATCTATTTTTTTTTAGACTGGCTCAAAGTTTTAGGAATATCTAGAAAAACTTAAATGAATATCACAAAAATAACATTTTCTTTTAGGACACAAGTAAAGATTTTTACTTCATAAGACAAGAGGCTATATTCATGTATAAAGTCCTTTCACAGATGTTCTGGTTCAAACATCCAGGCGGGTCAAAGAAGCACTGACGTAGAAGCCCGTGAATACAATGTCAATTTGTTGTGGTTTTCACTGACATGTAACAAATACACAGCTTTGTTTAAAATGCAAAACCACATTACAAGTTTAGGTTACCCACAGAAAGAAGTGATACAAAATGTGATCTCCTACATCCTATCACAAAGATTCTCTCTCTCTTTGTGTCAACTTCATCTCCCTAAATCTCTTGCAATACATTTAAAAGCCCTTTTCATTCAATCGGTTCCACGTCCCAGCTCGGCTGTACTGATATAAAACAGTTCTTCAACTACGGACAGTCTAGCTACATCTCTGGACCTCATCTGACACTGCGCCCCACACATCACATCCACATCCACAACAGCTGGGAAACACCGATGAACTGACACACACAGATGTCCGAGTCTCATCAGGTTTGACTGCTGGGACCAACGTACCAGCAGAGAAGCACGTCAGGATCGTAAAGTGAACCAATCCCACGTAGAAAACACTTCATGGATGCTTCTTTCCTTTCTCTTGTAACTTCTGATTCTCTGCCACGGACGATTCCGCATCCTGAACTTTACGTAGACTCCCTGGGGATTCTCCTGTGGAAGATCACGGAGTGCCTCTCCTCAAACTGCTGCTTCCTTCTTTTCTTCTGGTCCCAGCGGCACAGCAGTATCATCTTAAAGGTCGTACGGAAAGTCTTGTTGCACAAGGCGTAGCACATGGGGTTGACCGTGCTGTTGACGTAGCATAGCCAGTACCCAACTGCCCACAGGGTTTCTGGGATGCAACCTTTGCAGAAGGCATTGATCAGCACCATGATGTTGTAAGGTGTCCACGTGATGATGAAAGCGAAGAGGATGGCACTGAGAGTCTGCGCCGCCTTCTTCTCCTTCACTAAAGACATGCGCTTCCTCTTGGTGATCTGATTCCGAGCCCGGGCGGCGAAGCGCTTGGCGATAGCTGCTTCTTTGAAGGAGATCGAAGCAGACGGACATTTGGCGTTGGTTGGTTGGCTGTTGGCTTCGTCAGAAGTCGTCATGGTGGTGGTGTTCGCCGTCTCTCTTGTAAGACTGTCTCTGTTATACTCAGACCCTTGAAGGGCATCCTCCTCAGAGGCTGCATCCAGATCCTCGCAGGAGGTGAGCTGGGAGTTGACAGCAGCTTTGATTCCCGGCAGGCTGAGAACAATGGAGAAAATGGCATGACTCTGTGGAATCATCTCTCTGCCGCCGCAGTCTTCGTCGTCAGAAGACGCAGAGTGGTCCAGTGACACTGCAGCATCGTTGTTGTTCCAGCTGTCACTGCTACTCTGATCCGGATCCCCCTCACCTCGACGAGTGCTCCCTGGTCGCCAGGATCGCATCCCAGGCCAGCAGCGTAAGCCACTGACCAGCTCGCCACACGCACGCTTCCCCTTGGACAACCTGGTGAGCTCATAGCTGCTGCAACTTCGGGAACTTCCCTTCTGGTGGAGTAACTGGGTCCTTTTACCACCACGACTCCCACCTTTGCTTCCGGTGGCACCGCGGACCCCCGAACCCTGCAGCCCGGCCAACTCTTTAGAACGATTCTGCGTCTCCTTGTAAATGCGCCAGTAGAGGACGCTCATTATTGTCACAGGGAGATAGAAAGCTGCCATGGCTGTGCAGAAAGTGATTGTTGGCTCAGACAGAAACTGTATGTAGCACATATGGGAGGGCACCGTCCTCTTCCCCTCCAGATACTGCCACAGTAGGATGGCAGGGGCCCACAGCACGAGAGAAACAACCCAGGCCAGGCCGATCATGATCGCGGCTCGCTTTGTGGTCCGTTTGGCCCTGTACGTCAAAGGCCTGGTGACTGAAAAGTAGCGGTCAAAGCTGATGACCAGCAGGTTCATAACTGAAGCATTGCTGGCCACGTAGTCTATAGCCAGCCATAGGTCACAGGCCCAGTTCCCCATGGCCCAGTATCCCATCACCAGATAGGTGGTGTACAGGTTCATGGAGATGACC